GATTCTTTCCATTCAAGTTTCAACAACTAACTAGCACATTTTTTCAGTCCCTTTCCTACACCCTGGTAGTACCAACTGTCCTGCAGACATAGAAACCTTCCAAAGATTGTGGAACTTCTGTTTTCTTAAAGCTTGACTCGGAATGACAATGCAAACTACAAGGACTGCTCCAAAAATAATGCCTCCTATTTTATTATGTTGACCCATGATGTCAGATGTGGGATGTTGTTTGTTCCTTCCTGCCTGATTTAATTTCGAAAATGAATTTAAAAAAATAATGCAAAATAATAAATAATTTTTAAAAATCTAGTCTCGTGTAGATTGCCTCGCATCTGATGTTTGGAAAGGAAGAGTCAACCTTCCTAAGTATACTATGCACTCTATATTCTTTCAGAAATCCCTTATCCCAAAGTCTTATTCTCTCTTGGAACAATTATTAGTGCACCCAGTCCTTCTAAGCTATCAGCGCTAATCTTGAATATAGCTCTGGCCTCTGACATGCAGAAAAAACACAGTTAAACACTGTCTGCCTTTCCCTTTGAGAAAATGTGCAAAATTCAACTTTGGCCAGAGGGACAGGACTACTGTTCAGTCAATTCACTGTTTTCACGTCTATGATGAAAATGGCAGCAGTTGGAACATGTTTTGTTCAGTATATACAGATAAAGTAGGGTTGGTCACAGGAATAAATAACTGAAATAGTGGTTGATAGGTATATTAAGCCATTCTATTGTTTCAATCTGACTGCGTTTTTTAAAAAAGTATACAAATCAAAAAATATATAGATCTATAAAATATACCAATTATTTATGTTTATGAGACTAGGAAGATTATAAAGAGCAGAAAACTTCAAATTAGACTCCATGACATCACTGTTACCAGTCTGCAAAACTAGTCCAGCAGTTTACAGAGCTGACTGGGGCAGTGCTATTGAGTCTTAACAGCTCTGCAGGCTTTGTACGTTACATAGTTTCAATTTTTAATAGTTAAACTGGTCCAGAGGGAATAAGAAACTTTCCCACTCATTTTACAGCTGGAAAGCTGAGGCACAAAATTGTTTACTTGTCTAGGATTGCACACAAATATTGTATTAATACTAGTAAATAAATCCAGATAACCTTAGTCTAGATTCAGACCATTGGGCCACTTTTGTTCTGTTATTTTTTTTAAATTCCTGATGATGTCAACAAATTGCTTCCAGTTAAGTGAAACATCAAGACCATTAAAGAGAGAAAAAATTGGGCAGATGTTCAATAACAAAGTAACCAAGCTTGTTTTTCCTTTGTTTTCAATTTGAAATTGCTTTTGGTGGAGTTGCATTTACAGATTCATGAACTTCAATTGATAAATACCTAGATTGTCCATTTTAAGGACTTCTGTTTTAAGAACCTGGAAATCCACTCTTTTACCCAGTAGATCTCTCTGGAAAATGACTTTGTCTCCTTGAATGAGACTTTGATTAAATGGTGTGTGATCTGCTGTCTTCCAGTAATTTGGAGTAATGTCAAGATTCAGCATGTGACTAATACCATGATTCATTTTTCTAATATCTAAATTCTTTTAGCATCTTTGATTAATTTGTTAGAATGTTTTACTTCTTTCATGCTTTATTTTTTCAGCTTTGCCTGAAAAAAATTCTCTATATTTAGGAGGCATTGAAAGATTATTTTAATTTGAACAATTGGCTTTAAGTAAATATCTGAGAAGCCTGGTAATTCTAATTGCTAACCAAATTTGTGGTCCTCAATATGTTTAGATCTGTATCTCTGTATAATCATTTAAATTTGGAGCCATTTTGGAATTGTTAAAATAAAAAGCAGTTCAAAAAATGTCTTTTAGTTTTTCTTTTTCCATGCTTTTTATTCCAACATTTGAAATGTTTGAATACTAAGTTTACAGTAATTGCCATGTGTTTCGTTTTTGATGCAGCTCTAAATTTCAGTCAATATAAAAGTAGATTTTGTGTTCAATTTCCAAGGTATTGGAATTCTGCAGTAGAATTTCATAGTGTAAATTAAACACAAATTACGCTTCTTTCCTTCAGAAAGTTCAATGTAAGTCCTACCAATAGTTGAAATACTTTCAGCACCTTTCTCTACAGTGTAGATTTTATTTTTTTGGATTACAGATAGGAAGACTTTATCCTCTGACATACAGAGGTGTGGAAAAGAAATAATGCAACTTCAAATAAGCGGAAAATATGACTAATATCTCTGAGGAATAGTAAAGTTCTGATGCAATTCTAGCTCAATTTATTAGGTTTGGACCCTTTTCAGCGTAGACAATTGGAGAGTTACACATTAAAGAAAGCACCTAACTATAAGAATTAGTGATTGTATTATAATTGTAGTTGATTTAATTGTATAAAATTTGTTAGCAAGATGATCTCATTTATACAAATATAAAATATATCATTCAAGTCATACTGTCAGGTTTCCATTGATCCAGGTATTTACAATGTGTTAATTTACGTCAGCGAAACAACAGTGTGGAAAATGGGCAGCAGATAGGATTTAGTTGTTTTTCATTAGCACTTGGACTTTGATAAAGGGGAACAGAAAAGAGCTGGTTGACCTTTTAGTACTTAAATTATTAAAGAGAAAATAGATTTGAGGTCTAGATGCTTGCAAATCTAATTTGTCTTGTGGAGTAAGGATGAAAAGACATCTTGAGTTTGAAATTGCTCCAGTCAATTTATCTCTTTCTTTAATGTTTCTGAAGATGAATAGATGGCAGGCATTTAAAATGTAATATACACTGGAGTAGTGCATGAAGTATAACTAATATGAATTTGCAAGAAGAAAAGGAGCATTTTAATGACAGATTTGTTTCTAAAATACCTACAATCTCTAGCTATAATCACTTAGTGTAAAATGAAAAGAATGCTCATTTCAACTGATAGTGAAACAAGTCTTATTACTTAGCCTGGTCTGAGATGCTTCTTATATTCAGTTCTGTTGCAAGAAAAAAGGAGACAGCTCTTCTCACGGCTGACAGCCAAATCCAAAATTTGGTTTACTAGCCATGTTTTAGTGAGAACATGGGATTCTTATCTTTGCTGTGGTATTTGGCAGCTGTGTCCAGTTTAATACCTTGCAAGAGCACATGTTTGAATCATTCTCCACTTTTTTCTTTCCTCCAATATTCCAATTCTCAAACAGTATTTACTGTAGATTCACTATAATTTCATAGCTAGAGGAGTTAACAGTCTTTCCTCAAAGTAGTCTGGAATCACCCTTCTGAGCTACTTTTTGTTCTAAAGTTATGTCAGCTGTTGATTTGAATTGCAGACAGGCTGCTGTGCATTGACCTTCCCTTACAACTTAGCATGGAATTAGTCAACTAGTGGAAATCTTTCTGCTAAAAAATATAGACCTCATTTTCCAGGGAATGTGCTGACAGTGGTCTTCAAGTGGCCCCTCAAGGTACTTGTTTGTCTCTATGGCTGTACCTAATTTTACTTTAACATAGATTTCTGCATGGGTCTCTTCTTCAGATTGAAAAATCCAAAATTAGGTGTCCAGGTGCAGATTTTTAGATGTGTTATTGTAGTCAGTAAGAGCCTAGAAAGCAATTCAGTTGACCTGAAAGATTCCTTCTAGCTGGTCAGGTCTTTAAAGTCTGCTGCCTGTACTGACTTGCTCCCTGCTGACTTTAATGGGATTTTAGAGTTGTTTAGATATCATCAAAAAGACACTTAAAGTGTCTTAACAGTAAAGATCTAATTCAGGCAGAAGAGGTAAACACTCTGTCATCTGTACTGACCACAGTCACCCAGCCCAACCATCCCTGTGCTTACAGCAGGCTTTTGTAAACACAAGGATGATGGAGTGGGGACAACATGTCAGAAGACTGTGGCTATTGCCAGTTAAATGAATATACCCTGCACAGAGATTGCTGCTTGTTATGAATTATCAACTTCAAATACTGTAGATTGTTATTAGATGTAGATGGCATAGAGAAAAGTAGACACATTGTCTCTTTAAGATCTGTTACCCATACTGACTTGCTTGCTCGGATTCAAGACTTCAGAAGACAAATAATGATTAAAAATCACTGGTCTCCAGTGAAGCAATAAAGTTGCAAGTAAGTCCTCTTTAGAGACATGGATGTCCCACTTCACAAATCTGAAAGCACTGACTCAGACTTTTACAGCAACTGTGAGGGTATAATGATTTCACTGTTTGCATATACAGCAGAAATCACAGTTTCTTTGTTTCTGCTTGTATGTCCACTGCACCTTTACAGTGAAGAGGAATTGGCTACTCCCTGTGGGTCCAGTACAGAAAAACCTGCAACTATAGCCTGAATTGCTCTGCAGAATGCAGAAACGCTTAAGAACAAGATTATCCCTAAGATGTATGAAAAGTGCTTTGCTGAGTGAAAAAAACATCCATCAAAAAGTACTTCACCCTTGCTCAGTAACAGTTAATATACCATCAAAATTTTAAAAGACTTTAATTTACTTAATGTGTGCTTTTATAAATAGTTATGATGTCAACGGTTAAGCAAATACTATTCCCTGTCTCTTTGTAATTTATTTCTTCATTTTTATCTAACCACTCATTTAATTTCATTTAGGCAAGAGAAACAGGGTAGAAGATGGTATCTATAGCTTTACACTTACTTCTTTGAACAAAATAATACTTAATTCTATGTTTTAGCACTAATCAAGGAAGCTTTTTTCTGTACAAGAGTTCAAACAAGAAAGTGTTCCGTGAATTTGCTGAATGAAAAGCTGTGATGTATGTGGCTAATTTTATTTTTCTAAAACAAAATTAATTTATCTGAAAGTGTGAATCAATGCCATAAATTCATACACCTGAATACCAAAATGAGACTTTCTTCCCATTTTGTTTTCTCATTACAGGCTGGTGGTGGTGGTGTGTTTTTTCCATAAATACTGGTATGCGAGATTAAGGTCTCAGAAAGAATTGTCTGCCCAAGTGTTATAATAACACATATGGGTTTTTTTTCTTCTTTCCTTTCTATGCTCCTAGTGTCTACCAAATAGTTGTTGAAGAGGAACGCCCTCGGAGGACCAAAAAGACAACTGAGATCCTGAAGTGCTACCCAGTGCCCATTCATTTCCAAAATGCCTCACTTTTGAATTCCCGGTACTACTTTGCTGCAGAGATTCCAGCCAATGGCTTACAAGCTGCTCAGCCTTTTACTATTGGTGATAACAAAACCTACAGTGGCTTCTGGAATACTCCTCTTCTTCCTCATAAGAGCTACAGCATCTATTTTCAAGCTGCTAGCAGAGCCAATGGGGTAAGTCTTATGACAGTTGTGGTTTTATACACTGTGTGTAAATAGATAATTGGCATCAACCACCAAGATGCCCAGTGTAATTGCTAATGAGAAAATGAAGTAACGGTGAAATTTAACACATGAATTTTAAAAATAACAGTTTTCCTGACACGATCTAGCTTAATGATTAAAGGTTACAGGAAGAACAGGAGAAAACAGCACATTTTGTCAATAGCGAGTAAACAAAATAATGCATTGCCATTTTGTCATTATCTAAAAGCTGTCCAGTGAGCCTAATTTATTGGCTTTTCATCTTTTTTGTTTTTGTTTTTGTTTTCCTTTCCTTTTCAAAGATAAAAGGAGTGCTGTGATTCCTTTTGTTAAATTTAAGCCAAACTTGATTATGGCTTTTAGCACATCTGTCTTGGCCTGTCCAATCCCATTGCCTTAGTTTATACCATGTTCAACTCCCACTTTCTCATTTGGTTGCCCTTGCTGAATTAGAAATAATCTTTATTCTTTTCCTTTCTGCAATCGGTAAAAGAAAAATAACTAGATGGAGCTGGAATGAGAGTGTGTAAAAAGGCCTTCACAGATCATGTTTCATCAGGCTAATTTTTCCGGGAATTGTTTTTCATTTCCTGGACAGACCTACCCAGAGCCCTTCAATTCTTGATAAGCTTTGGCTGTCTGTGCTGACAGCCTGGAAATGTTTTCTGCCAGAAACCATAATGGTCCCTCTTTCACATTGCACTGACAGTGCAGAAATGTGAAACGCCATCGATTATTTTTTCTTTCTAAAATTGTCTAGCATGATGCTTAGAGTTATCCTTACCTGTAAGAAAAAGAAAAATCTCCCAAGGTCATTAAGTTACCAAAGTGAAAAAGCTGAACACTTGCCTGTGCTTCTGTGAATCATGTGCCTGTTTTCTTTACTAACTGAACTGTTTATGTAACATACCAAAACAGTGTTTGTCCATACTGTGAAAGCACAGTGGAGTTCCATCATAACAAGTTAAATATGTAACGAAGAACACTAAGTAAACACTTTTCCTGCATTGTATCAATACTTTTTAAGAGTAGAAACATGGATGGCTTTCTCTGCTTAGAAACATGAGATGTGACCTTTTTCCTCTTTATTTTACACAGGAAACCAAGATTGACTGTGTCAGGGTAGCCACAAAAGGTATGTTCATATTATGTGATGTATTCTGTAATTTGGACTGTTGACCTTTCCTTCTCTTGGTCTTGCAGAAGTGTTTTATGTTGCTGAAAGGTATCACTGAATCTGTTACAGAATTTTAAAGGATTCATTTGTGTCTCTAGTTGAGATTTAGGAAGTTTGTTTGTTTGTTTGTTATTAATAATAAATGTGCTACTAATTTCTAGTTGTTTACTTGAACACTTTCTCTGAAATATATTCTGGGGGTTTTTATATGATCTCTCAATGTTTTGGACATTTTTATATATAATAGATTTGTAAAATTGCCAGTTTGCAGAGTGCAAAGTAGCTACATGTGTATTAGTGAAAAATCGCCCCTTCCCCATAAGCAATTATCTTTACTGCTTTAAAAAAGAAAAGTGGAGAAATTGTGTTCTTCATTTTCATGGTGTAGAACAGCTCTTTTTATTGAAATGTCAGCGCATCTTACTGCCGTTTGTGAGAAAGATGGTATGGTCGAGGCAGTCCTAGCTATGAGTTTGATCCCCAGAGAGGAAAGGTAAACATATTGCTGATTTATTTAACTTCGAAGGCTAAGACTTGTCTCTAATTATCTTTGTACTCTCATCTTTTTAGCACCTCTAGCTAGTGCCAGCTTCAAGGCATGAAAAAGAGGTGCTGGGATAATATGGTTATGTGGAGATTGTAGTAGAGGAAAAGGAAAGGAAAGGGAAAGAACTGCTGCTAAAGAGGAATAGTTAATGCTTCTTTGCAGTTTGGACACCTGGTAAGAGTGTGACACGAAAAATTCTTCATTGTATCTCATAGTGGCTATTCTCAAAGCAGCTGGCTTCAGCATGATTCCATTTCCATACAGATGATGTCGTTCCACCACCTCCAATATATCTAAACATGATGGATTAGAATCTCATTACTGAAAAATAAATGAAATGTTAGCACGATTGCCTCTTTCCTTATATAAAAAATTTATATCTCTTCAAACTATTTCCTTTTTTTTTTTTCCAAGAACAAAGTAAGAAGTTTTATTTCCAGTTTACTGACTGCTTACTATACCATAGCAAACTTTCAAATATCTTCGCTAAAGCCTAATAAAACATAAAATATATTAATATCATGTTAAAATGAAATTCTGTGCTGTTTTCTGGGAGTTTTGGTGTTGCCAGGAGCAGATTACATTGCCTCACAAATCATAATAGGTGATTAGGGGAATGGGTTTTAGATGATTTGAAGATCTGTAATCCTAATCACTAATGGATGTTCAACTGTTTCAATTACTTGACTGACTGAAAAACCTTACTCTCTCGATTGAGAAGTGAGGGTGACTTCATGGATGGGAATAGCTTCCATAGCAACAAGGTAGCACATCTGACAATAGGGAGATGAGAAATGCAGCTTTTATTTTAAACAAATCTCTGTACTTTTTTGCTTTGAAAGCTGGTTTCAGAATTGTTCATAATACCTTTGTGCAGTCTGTAAAGTCAGACAAGGGGTTATTGTGCGAACTTGGAAGTCAGAAGTGTCCTCAAAGGCGTTCATAGTCCCTGGTACAAAATTTTACAGAGGGGCTTCTGAAAAGCACTGATCACTGTGCTTACAAATCTCTATTATATATTCAAACTATATTATTTTTTGCAAACTAAAATGTAGACTGTGACATACTGTAATATGATATTAATTATAGATATCTGTACAAATATTTTTTCCTGTTTAGATCCAGTAGAGGTAAGGAGAAAAGCAGACTTCTTACTTTTTGTAGGTGAGAAGTCACCACACCTGGACGCACTGAATCACGCACTGAGACAAGACGGAGAATTGTCCTGTCCCATTCGCAGCCCACATGTCTACATTTCCCCCATCACCACCACCTTTTTTGAGATCATATAAAAATCTTGATTCCAGCAATTGTAATTTAGGATCAGAATACTGGATTTTGTTCTCCTCCAGCTTCTGCTGAAGTCAGAGAGAACCTTTGCCACTGGCTGTGCTTGGAGAAGGATCAGATAGCGTATTCCTGTGATGTAGAATCTTCTGTTCTTAGTTGTCTGTAGAGAAAGCCTTCTAGGACCTCTGTTACTATTTGGTGTATATACAAATGTGGAGACTGCAGGGTTTCCACTCCCATTACCTTTGACAAGATAATTAAACAAACAAACAAACAAAAATTGGGAAGAAATTTTCATACCAGTGGTAATAAAGGTTGTCGTATTTTGTTTGAGATATGGCTTTCATATATGTACTCTTTCTTCAAGCTAAATGGTTGTGAAATCTCAGCAGACGAACTTGAAAACATTCCAGAACTCTTCCAAGTTTATTGCTATCATCTTTATGATGTTTTGTGATTTATATTAAGACTATATTTCCTGATATGACTTACAACTCTGTCTGGATAGAGACATCTTGGCTATCTCCTAGGATTCCAGTTCTCAAGAGGCAGACGTTATTGTTCAAATTCTGCGATATTGGAAGGCTTTCATTAATTATGAGAGAGAAAAGGATATTATAATATTTTAAATCAAATAGCAACAGTACTCAAGCAGCTACTATCAACACTGTGTTTCAGTGTTGCAGAGGGATATTTCAAAATATTATGCAGCAGCAGTTTTGAGTTTAATTGTCTGCAGATGGTAGATGATCTATTTTCCTCACTCGTTGCCACATTTCTAATAGCACCCAGGCTGTTCTGTGTAAATTAGTGATCTTTCATATAATTTTCTCCTTAATTTTCCAATATTTTTGCTTTGCATCATTCTCCAGCTGCATCATCTTGGATCTGACCTTTTAATTTTTTTTTATATTCCTTGATACATATGTATCATAGTGTGCTTAACCACTTAGAGGCAATCATAATGGCAAATAAAGAAGTACAAGATCTTATTACTGTGAGCACGCTAATACTTATCTGCAACAGTCAGACTGTTAACAGCTCTGACAAAAAAATCAGGGCACTTGGAACACAGACAATCCGAGTTTTTCAGCTTTTTCTTGTTGTAGTGGCAAAACATGAGGTGATGTAAAGCTTGGACCTCAGTCAGCTACAGATGTACCTAACTCAAAAGTGAAAACTCAGTGCTCTTTCTTTCAATGTTGCAAGTTAAGTGTATGGGTAGTGTGTGCGTTTCCAGAGCAGAGACCTAAGTAGGCTCAATAAAAATGAATCTAAGGTAGCTCAAGAGCATTTATGTGAAAATTATCTTAACAGGAAATATAGAAAAATATAATAAAATGAGATAATAAAATGTGAAATGAGTACAAATTACATAGGGAAGTTAAGACCAGAGTAATCTGATAGGTAGTAGCCTTTCACTTAGAAAGCCCAGTGCTGCAATCAGCAGAGCCTAACAGTCTCCAGTTTCCTCAAACACATTTTATGTAAATAATGTGCTTTGAGTCCTCTTCTGGAAAGTCATATACAAAAACTCATTTATTCACAATAACCAAACTAACAACTGAAGATGAAAAGAAACTTGTGCTGTTGGGTTTTTTTTTGTTTGTTGGTTTTGTTTTTACCTTTTCTTTTTTGTTTATAAGAAGTTCAGACAATAAACTATTGACCAAGATTCTTCTTGCTGGCCTAGCTTCAGTCTGGCTTTTTTTTCCCTCATGCATGCTGACCTGGAAATCTTCCTTTGCCTTAGCTGCGATAATCGTGACTCAGCTTACAACACCATACATTCGCATCGCCCCTGCTGCAGGCGACGACCAACTAACAGGTCAGAAGTTCAAGTATAGACAAGTCATCATGCCCATTCTTGTTTCCTTTTGTTTGGCTCCTTTTCCCTGATGATTTCTTCATTCTCTGCTCGTAAATAGTTTTCTGTGTTAAAACTTTCTTTTTGTTTGTAAGTTTTTCTTCAGCTCCATTATATTAAATTAAATTGTGTGCTTGGCACCAAAACGCACACATGCATGGCCGTATGTACAACTCTACTGCATGTTTCCATTATGTGTGTAATCTATGGAATATTCTTTCAAGCCTAATGTGAAGAGATCTAGCTTCACTCCATGTGTAAATTCAGTGATAGTTTAAATACAAATATCTACCTATGTACTTGCTTTTTTTTTTTTTTTTTCTGTTATTAGATCAAGACACTAGTGTATCTGTCATTTATTTAAGGTTCACAAGTTGCATGTATAAATTAGAACAAAGACCTTGCATTAATGTTTGTCATTTTATATTTTCCCATGGTGTATTGGGAAGGTCAGATTTTCTGTCAACATTTCAAAATGCATAAAATTTAAAAAGAAGTAAAACCGATTCCCTCGTTATGTCATATATGAATTCAAGTCTTAAAATAACCTAGGGTGTGAGATATGAAAATGAACAGAGCTGTAAGGTTTCTAGATCTAATTGTCACAAAATCTCAGTGCAGAAGTGAGACAATTACTGGGCTGAGTGTGGCTTGAAGGCCAGTTCAGAACGTACCGAAGTCCTTACAAACTCAAGGAAACTTCATTTTGTTGCAAAAAAAAAAGTGCAAACCCTTGTATTTTCAAATAGTGAGAAAATGCACTAAACAAATTTCTAAAACCTAAGGTGAGTTTGAAAAATCAAGAGGGGAAATTAGACCTAGTCCATCAGAATTTAGCAGGTGATAAAATTACTGCCTTTTTCAGGAACACTGGCTTATTTGGGTAATGTGTAAATATTGCTGCTGGGGTGCCTAAGGGTCAAGGGGAGTTTAGATCCTTAGCATCTGGATTCTCCATCAGTCAACAAGAGACAGGTAAATAATTCAACTGAAGAGAAGAGGATCAGTGGCATGTTTACAATAGATTTTAATGCTGTGATATGTGTTTTGTATAACAAAGCTTAAATACATAATGCTGAAGTTATTGCTTCAATCAGGAGAAGATTGTTGCATGTAATTCGTATTATGTAATAACATAAGAGCTAACCAGAATAATGGATGTATGATGCTAGGAAGTACTAGTGTGTTCTTGTTAGTGATCTGTCAGTAGCACTGTCCACATGCATTTTTATAGCTCAGTGTTTTACTTGCAAGTACAAATAAGGCTTTGAATAGACAAACAGCATCTCTTGAACTTCAGCAATTTTTATTTCTTCATCTCAGGATTCAAATAAGTATATATATATTCCCAGATGGAGAAGTAAATGTTTTTCATCTCATTCTTTTTCCTTTTTTAAATTTGTTTTAATGCAGAACTGAGTAGCTACAGGGACCTCCAGAGGACAGATCTGTTCTGTAAGGCGGAAACATCTACCGTAGTTAACAATGAGAGATCAGAGATATAGCTAACAAATACGTGTATACGTATATACGTATATAGCAAAGTACTGGTTACTTTGTTCCTGGTGGTGCATAGCTTGGAAATTCATATTGTCTGTCAGATCTGTGACTTTCTTACTTTTTTTTCCTTAAATAAATACATCTGTTATACCAGTGTAGCAAAAATGCTGATTCATGGCCTGAACTAGTGATTGAGCACCTGGTGGGAAGGCAGGGCCAACCCAGGGGAGCTCATTGCATTCATCTGACTATCTGTAAGGGGTGGATCCCCACCCCTTCCCAGACCTCATTCAAGGGTTGGCAGTGGAGGCAAGGGTATCTCTTGCTGGAGATTCCTGCCTGTCTGAGGCATTCTAAAGGTAAGCAGTTTTTCTTCTTTTGTTTCTACGTCCATGGCTGCTGCATTTGGGCTTGTTCTCATTTGCTGCAGCCTAGGCTTATGCAGCCTTATAGAGTTATAATCAGAGACTAGTTATATATGGACGAAGTATTAAATTATATCTACAAATGGCATTTGTGGCTGTCTTTGAAATGTATTAGAAAGTCTCTGAAGTTATTCCTGTTTTTTTTTGGTTGTTGGTTTGTTTTTTGTTGTTGTTGGGTTTTTTTTTGTTTTTTTTTTTTCTCCACAAGCTCTTCTCATTCTATAAAGGCCATGTGGTGAAAAGGGAAGAAGTTTCATCTTCCTTCTCAGTTGCCACAATAGGGAGTGTAAGTCCTTTTGCCCTGCACACATGGTTGTTCTTACAGCAGTAAGCTTTTCTAAAGACAGACTGTGTAAGAACCTTCAAGGTAGTAAGGCAGTCATGGTACCTGTAAGGCAGTAAGGCAGTGCCCATGAGGAACCCAAAGATTTTCTTAAAGGAGATTCATAGGAGCTGGTGCAGGCATGAGAGAACAGGGAATGGAGTTTGTTCTCTCTCCTCCTTCTCCCAGGCAGTAGAAAGGATCTACGTGTAAAAGGGCTTTTTTATGTGGAAGTCATAGGGCTGTTGCCAGCCGTAGTTACCACAAGGCTTACAGGTATAGCAGTTAAATAACATTGCAAAGCATTTTCCGCTCAATGCCTTTTCCTTACTTTTCTGCTGAACATCAAAATAATCACATTTGCAATCAAGAAGTTATGTTTCCCTTTTAGGATTTGAGGAGATATGGAGTTTGTGGTCGGGAGGACAGGTTTGGGATTTTCTTTTTTCTTTCTGGTGGGAAGCTGATGCTTCTTGCATAACAGAAATTTAAAATCTTGGCTGTGTTCCTGAACATTATTACTTTTTTAAGAGATCTTCCTCTTCAGCAAACTGTGATAATACAGTTTAGCTTTCCAGCCAACTTGCACAGTCTCAGTTATCAACTCATCCTGGCACTGACTGATAAATAAGTTTATAAACAATGCATTAGTTCCTCTTTCTTTCCTTTCTCCCTCATTTTCATACAGAAGTAACTTGCAGCCATAGAATTACCTGCTATTTGTCCTAAATATCTCTATAGCTACTCCTTGCTTCAGTACTCACTTGGAGCTTCCAGCGTCGGGAAGTTTTTATCATCTGTTAGCCAAGAGAAAATACTGTGTGTACGTGAAGCATAATGGTCCTCATGATGCAGTCTCCATATTTGCACAAGCAGATACAGCTAATACAGTTCTACAGTACAATCTGAAAGCATTTATAGGATTTTTCAAAAAGTTACCACTTGAAAGTGACTATAAGCTTGACTTTAAAGTTGAATAACAAATCTATGTTTCTGAGAAATCCTGAAAGCTTCTGCATTTTGCTTCGCTATATTTTAAGAGACATTTCATGTAATAGGCTTAAATTGGCCATATTTGGTATTCACTTGGCCCTCATCTGTTCTGTCTGCATTCTGATAAAATACCATGCTTGGAATTGTGATTAGGGTGTTCATTCTTTCAGGCATTTTCTTAATTGTTGAAATATGTCTGAGCAACTTATATTTAAAGTATTTCCATTTGTGATTTAGTGGAACAGCCACCACTTTGCTCGATGTTATTCCACCACTTTGCTAGATGTTATTCCACCACTTTGCTAGATGTTATTAAGGCTGATTTCCAAAGAATGCCCTTTTTTACGACCCATTGTTAATTACACATGCAGGTGGAAGTGGGAGTTCTGTATTGTACAGTCTTCATAGATAAAATTCTTGGTACAGATCAGATACAATAAGATATGTCAGAAATCTTATAGAATGACTGATACTTAAGAATTAGAAGTATTCTTTTATGATAGTGACTATCTTAAAGCTCATATGAATTTTACCCTGCATACCTTAAGCAGCGTATTTTAAATCCATGCTAAAAAAGAATCATAAAAATAATTCCAGTGACTTTCTCCTCCCTTATGAAGTTAGCTGTATAATAAAATATACAGATCTCTTCAGATTTAGTTCAATACGTAACATTTATCAACATCTTGGTCGGATTCTCTTACTAGCCATTCCAGTATGAAAGTGAAAAACTTCAACTCGAATATTGGATTTTTTTTTTATGTGAAAGGATTTACTCCAGATTTATTACTCTCAGCCTCAGCATTACTAAAAATGATTTATTAGCACAAAAACAGAAGTGTGAATTTGAAAAGGACTCTTTTTCTACTTATCTAGTTTGTTTAACAGAACTGGTGTAATTTGAGATATAGCCACATGGGCTGGACAAACATCATGTTCCTTTTTCTCAATCCTGTACCTTGTAGCATTGGCTTAGATGTATTCTGATGTGTGGCAACACGAAGTGCTGCTTTGAGTAATGGATAACCCATGAATTCCTACTTGACACTGCAGTGTTGTTTATAATAACAAAGGTATATGCAGGCATTTCTTCCGGTTGAATCCACAGTTTTAGGATATTATTCTTCTATCAATTCTTCTGAACATAACTGGTATCAGTGGGAGCTGTGCATAATTATCATAGGGAGAGCAAACACCTATATGGTGTAAAGCCAAAGGCTCTTTGGTGTGAAGTATGGTGCCATTATGGCATGAAGGAGAAGACTAAGTGAGAATGATCTGACTCTCATACGTAAAACTCCAAGCTTGTTATTATATGTACCTCCAGCATTTCTTTTACCAGCTGTGCAGAGATCTTGCTTCTCCCACTCCAATGGGCAGAATGTGAAGCAAGTGGAAATCTTCCCACTTTCTGCTGCAGTGGCTGAGTGCATTCCAGTGGGCTGGAGTGTCACTTGTGATTTATTGCCCTTTTTTTGTTCTTTTATGTGTTAAATTTGTCATCTTTGCGATGACAGTTTCATCTATAAAACAGTATAGTTACAAGAAAATGTTAAGAGGATACAGGACTGCCATGGGAGCTAGTGGGTTTTGTTGTTGTTGTTGTTGTTGTTTTGTTTTGTTTTTTATTGCCTAGTCAAATGTCAGGTTTTCTGGTTTTAACAGTACATCCAAAACACCTAAGATTTTAAATGTAAGTACAGTTTCCTTAGACTAGCTGA